TGCTCTGTCTGATTTTGTTGCTTCTCTAGGTCTAGAGCTAAAACACAACTGAGGCTTAGATATTTTCTCTAGTTTGACCACAACTCTGTCTCTGTTCTCTGGGGTCAAAGGCTCTACTTCTAAGATGATGTGGTGTGGGTCAAACCTCATTGTCTTAAGGGTTTAATTATTAAAGGAAGTAGTCATGAAAGGCCATTAAAGTGGTCATCAAGGCCTTCTATGGGAGTCATATGATGCTCTTCTCTGGCCCCCTTGCTTCTCCTCTAGGGGGTCTACCATGTGACTAGTGACCTGCCAGGAAAGGAAAGCTCAGGGGAGGGTATAAATCACATCACCAGCTGATATGCTAGGCCAGTGGTTGGCAAACTCATTAGTCAACAGAGCTAAATATGAACAGTACAATGATTGAAATTTCTTTTGAGAGCCAAATTTTTAAACTTAAACTTTTTCTAATGCCACTTCTTCAAAATAGACTCGCCCAGGGCCTAGTATTTTGTGGAAGAGCCACATTTAATGGGCCAAAGAGCAGCATGTGGCTCTTGAGCTGCAGTTTGCCGACCACTAGGGGATAAAAGGTCACCAATTAACCACTGCTAGGCCCACTGCTAGGCAACCTTCTGTATCTAGCCAATTATTCCTATTCTGCCCATCTCTGTCTAGCTGCCTACTACCTCACTCACTCTGTATAACAATTTGAAAGATTTATTTTCCCCCTATGCTTGGGAGAGGTATAAGTAGCATTAATCTATACTATAATAGATACCTTATGATTCTAATGTCTTGTTATAGAGGATACTTTTAAATAGTTTTTATTTATTTTATAGAAATTGGTCTTTTAATATTTTTCTATTTGTATTGGGGTTAATTTTGGTAAACTTCAAGACCATTAATTACCTGAGGTCAAGAACTATGTATTTTTCATTTAGTTTCTGAGAGCCTACCTAAAGTTACTGAGAAGTTTGTAGGGCATCAATAAATTTGTATTCACTTCTTGTGCAGTGTGTGAGACCTGCAGTACAGGAGGAGCAATGTAGCTTATAGGTAGTGGGCTTATACTTTTTGGAAGTGTGGGTGGACTCAACATATGTATTACTTTCACTTCCTTCTAAAGTTTCACATAAACAGTAGTGAATGATATAAATTTTCTTAAATGGCTCAGCCTGCAGCTGATCAGAGAAGCACCTTGAGTCTTAACCACAAGCAATGTTTCAACTTTAGTGATGGGGTGATCATAAGAGATCTAAACACTTACATGGCTGGGAGTCAGGGAAGCTGGAGAGAGAGATGGCCCATCTGGAGCAGCAGCTGGCACAGCGTGGCCAATGCACATTAACAACTGAGGTCTGCTGCTAAGTGACAACATGTGTAACTATAATAGTGTCTCATGCCCTGCACTGACTTTCCAAGCATAAAATAACTGTGTGTGGTGTCACTTCCACCTTCCACATCACATGTCAAAGACCCTCTAAATTATAGAACCTAACAACACCAAGAGAAAGCACTGAAGACACTAACATGGGGATTTCCCAAGATGTGGTTGATCCAGGTAATACTGCAGGGCAGTCCTTGGAGGACAAACTACCCATATTTGCTTGCAGCAATCAGTAATTTAGACTACTGTTAATATGAGAGGACTACAGAAGAGGACCTGGCATTACAGAAGAGAGTCTAACATAAAAGACACACCCACAATCCCGGGGAAACAGTGTGTTTTAAAGAGATGAAAATGTAAAAGAAACTATGTTATAATTAATATTTTCACAGATATTAGAGATATATTGCATTAATGAATCAAGAATTGCATAATATTTAAAAGGAAATATTCAGAGGGAAGAATATGACTCTATTATAATAATAAACACTCTCTGGATCTTAAAATGTCACAATTGAAATAGCAAAAAGCTGAAACTAACCCCAATGAACTAGGAATTAAAGGCCGACATCTCTGCACAGAAGGACGGTTGGGTCTATTAATTCTTCATAACAAGCCTTATGATTCATGATATAAAACCTACAAGGCTTGTCATCACTAAAAACCTTACCAAAAAGAAGAAACATTTCATGAAACAATGCAATAATAATAACAATAGTTATTACCATAGATATCATGAATTTTCTATGTCCCAAGCACTGTGTGAGGTGCTGTCGGTGGATTATCTCTTTGAATCCTCACTACATTGTACCTAGATACATTTATACCTTATTCCATATGAGAAAACTGGTGCTTTGAGAGTTCATTAGCTATCTATTGTTGCACCATGAATCACAGCAAAATGTAGCAACAGATACCACCACTTTTTTATGCATCATCGTACATATTTTTCTTGCATTTTAATTTCTTTATTGATTAAGGTATTACATATTTGTCATCATTTCCCCATTACCTTCCCAAAACCACCCACCACCACTCACCCCCAGTTATCTGTGTCCACTGGTTAGGCTTATATGCATGCATACAAGTCCTTTGGTTGATCTCATCTGCCTACCTCTCCCCTTCCCTACCTTCCCTCCGAGGCCCGACAGTCTGATAGATGCTTCCCTATCTCTGGATCTGTTTTTGTTTATCAGTTTATGTTGTTCATTATTTCCCATAGATGAGTGAGATCATGAGATATTTTTCTTCTCTGACTGGCTTATTTCAATTAGCATAATACTCCACCACTTTATAGTTTCTCTGGGTCCTTGAGCAACTTACTAGTAAACTGCGTGATTCTAGCTGGGCCTCTCACCAGGCTACAGTTAAATGTCAGTGAGAGTTGCAGCCATTGCAGGGTTTGGCGTGGAGCTCTGCATCAGGGACCGCTCCCATGGCACATCTTCTGAGGGTCCATGCTCACTCATGTGGGCCTTTCCTTAGGGTTGCCTCTGGCATAGCTGTTCCCCAGAGTGAGTGATCCAGGATCACGTGAGGTGGGAGCCACTGTCTTTCCATAATCAAGTCTTGGAAATGACATTTATCCCTTTTGTCATATTGTCTTAGAGACACATCCATAAGTCTAGCCCACACTCAAGGGAGGGCATGAATTCATGAGCAAGAAATGAATACCAAGACGTGAGGATAGAATGAGCTCGCTTAGTGGTCGCCTATAGGTGAATTGGCTTATCCAACCTCCAATAGGTATAAGTGGTAGCCCTGTGATGCAAGACCATCCACTTTAACTCCAGTGTTAGAACTCTTTTAAAAAAATGTTTTCTTATTTATTTCAGAGAGAGGAAGGGAGAGAGAGAGATAGAAACATTGATGAAAGGGAAATATCAATCAGCTTTTCTTACAGGGATGGAGCCCACAACTCAGGCATGTGCCCTGACCAGGAATCAAGTAGTGATTTCCTGGTGGATGGGCAAAAGTTCAACCAACTGAGCCACACACACCCGTTGGGCCCATGGCTTCTGTTCTTAATCCCTGTGTAACCCCCCAAAATGCCTTTGTGAGACAGCAGCAACCCATTCACAGGGTTGGTATGTTGGAAGTTTGGGAGTGGCTGGGGAGAAACATCACACCTAGAGATGACTTCCACACACGAGACACATACCCAAGTGTTACTAGGTTTGCGGAAAGAGAAACCAGCTGTATATTATGGTCAGTATGTAGAGTGGAACTATAACTCTCTCATTTATTCCCCAGTTCAGAAAGTGTATATGGCTGCAAGAGAGAAGTCCATGAGTGCAAAGATAACCTTGAATTCACTCTAATTTATAAACTCTCAAACCCTCTCAAGATTTAGAACTTTATCGGTAATGAATTATTTGAGGCACCCCTCATGCTTGATCATGACAAACTGCAGCTTCATTTTCCTAGGAAGGGACATTCGTCACAGGGCCACGTTGGCAAAGGTGAAGATCTGGTGCTTTATCTTTAAGGCTTTTGGGACCCACTGTCTTTTAAGCATGGGATGATGACACGGTTGGATGTGTACCTGCTGCTCAGAGTTATACCATTTTGTCTAAAGCATTGGGGAGCCTCCTGCATTCTCCTGCATAAGGCAGTAGATGCCTCATTCACACCTTCCCAGCTTTATTCATGTTGGTGTAATGAGATTTCTATGTTTCTACTATCTGGTCAAGGTAGTCTATCTCGGGGCCCTGTGCCTGCCTCTCTCTGAACACAGACAGACCTTTGTGGCAGCAACGAACCTGGGAGCTTCATAAGGCCCAGGCTGATCGCCTTCATGTTCTGTCATCTAGTGGTGACCACACTGTTGACATATGCTAAGGACTCGGTAAATGCTTATTAAGTTAAAATAAACTTTTTTTAAATTGATTTTTTACAGAGAGGAAGGGAGAGAGATAGAGAGCTAGAAACATCGATGATAGAGAAACATTGACCAGCTGCCTCTTGCACACCCCCTACTGGGATGTGCCCGCAACCAAGGTACATGCCCTTGACCGGAATCGAACCCGGGACCTTTCAATCCACAGACCAATGCTCTACCACTGAGCCAAACCAATTTCGGCAAGTTAAAATAAACTTGATTGGGCACCTACTATACATCAGTCACCAAGTTGAGTTCTTGGCAGATGTTAATAAGATAGTGCCATTTTACTTTATTAGTAAAAAGTCATGACTGTATGTGTCCATTCGTTTTTTTATTCATTGATCAAACTCCTACTGTGAAGGTGGCACTCTGCCAGATGCTGGAACGTGTGCCAACAACACTCATAACACTCTCACATGTTGTCACTGGTCCGCCTAGCTCAACACACTATGCAGGCATCTAGGAGGGACACACCCATCGGCACACTGAAGGTCATAGTCCAGGGAGGGGGGCACTAGGAGTGGGTGACTTCCTAGCTGGTAAAAAGTGTGACTGGTAAGGTGAATGGAGGGGGGGCTCCATCAAGTATGGGGATGTTGGTTTGTTAAGACTCGAGGGGAAGTGGGATTATAGGGGAAGGAAGGAAGTCCATATTAACAGTCTGCAGAAGTAGAAATCACTGATGCATCTAAGGAATATGCAGAGCCATGCAACTTCTCTTCCCCACTGCCTTTGTTTCCCCAGCCCTCTACGAGCGATCCTGCGAGGTGTACAGGCACCGAGGGAATACAGCGGGCTTCTTCCATATTGACCCAGATGGCAGCGGGCCGCTGGGAGCTCTCCGTGTGCACTGCAACGTCACAGGTGAGGTGCGGCCCTGGGTCAGCTCCATCTGCTGGGCGAGGGCTCATGTCCCAGGGGACTCCGCGGCCAGTGACTCCCTTGCAAAGAAAAGACCACGTTCCGGGGAAATGGCATTTTACTAACTGATAGGATTAGCAGCTGGGTTATTTTCATGAGAGAAGAAAACTTATTAATAGTCTTCATGTTCCACCAAAATCGACTTAATTACCAAGCATTTCCCATAGAACTTGTCATGGATATTTTCTGTCTTAGAACTCAAAACCAGAAAGCACATGAAAACAACCAACCAACCAAAAACCAAAACTCAGCACTTACAGGAAGCTGGGCTCGGGTGGTGGGAAGGCCTGGTCCGTGCCTGGCCCTGAGAACCAGGAGTCAGCATTCTTCCTGAGCTTCACTGCGGAACATCAGTTCTGTAGGAATAGCACTTGCTACCTCTCAGAGCGGTGAGGATTAGGCACATCCCTGTGTAGTGGAACAAGCAGACAGACCAGTTATCAGTGGATGCCTAAGGGAAGAGGAAAGTGAGCTATTTTTTTTGTTTTTAAAATATATTGTATTGATTTTTTACAGAGAGGAAGGGAGAGGAAGAGAGAGTTAGAAACATCAATGAGATAGAAATATCTATCAGCTGCCTCCGGCACACACCCTACTGGGGATGTGCCTGCAACCAAGGTACATGACCTTGACCAGAATCAAACCTGGGACCCTTGAGTCCACAGGCCGATGCTCTATTCACTGAGCCAAACCAATTTGGGCTATTTGTTGTTTTTGTTTTGTTTTTTTTCTGGAGATTTTATTTATGCTGCCTCTTTGTTCTAAAGTGCAGAGGGACCTAGTCAGAGTCAGTTGGTTCATAGGTTTAGAGAGTGTGTCTGATCACTACTTTATTTTGAAAAATAATTCCACAAAGCCACAATTTGATGTAATAGTTTCCCAGAAACAGCACGGTGAGTGCATTCTCCATTGGGAGTGCGATAATGACCACATCTACGGTTTGGGATCCCAGCCTTCTTTGGAGAACCAGCGGAGCCATGCAGTGAATCAGGAACCAGGGAGCTGTTGAGACTCACTGAGTCCTCCTGCCCTGGCTCCTTTGCAGCAAGGCAGCCACTCCCTGGAGCTCCATCTGTAACAGACTGTCCTGGGCTCTAGGGAAATGCAGAGAAATAAGACATAGTCACTGTCCTTCATGAGGCAGTAAAATTGGTGACAACAGAATGCAAAAATCACAGGTAGACAGGCAAGCAAACCTTTTCAAAAATGGTGATTAAGGACACTTAGCAATTTGTCCATCTGAATACAAAGGCCACATCTTTTTCTGCAGAAAATGCTAGTTTCATGGGATTGATTGCCATTTCATTGAATTTCCATAATTCTTTATCTGCAATATGCATATATACTAGCTGCTTCTCCCCAGCTTTATAAATAAATTATGATGCTGTTTTCTTTTGAAGGTTTTGGTAAACTAAAATACTAAACAGCCTGAATAAGTACTAGGTAGGGTTTTCTGTGGATCCTAGTTATTGACTCAGGTAGAGGTCCAGTGCATGAATTTGTGCACCTTGAAAGAAACTATGGGCTGTGAGGCTGCAGTAGGCACAAGGGCAGAACTCAGCCCACCCTCTGCGCCCCCACCCGGCCCCTCCCACCACTGCTGGCAGCCCCACCCCTACAGCCGCAGCTCCCACACACTGATGGTACTGGCCCCGCTGGCACTTGCTGATAGAGTGGAGCAATTGGGGCTGGCACCGTCAGTGGGTGAGAGCAGTGGCTGTTGCCAGGATTGCCCCTCAGAGCAGGGGGAGGTGGGGAAGCCCTCAGGAGTGATCAGGGCCAGCAGCCGCTGCTCACCCTTGCTTATGGAAAAAAACCCTGGGCACTGGCAGCGGGTGTGAGTACAGGTTCCAGGGCTAGTGCTGGCAGTGGGTATGAATGGCAGCTCCGGTGCTGGCAGTGGGTGCAAGCATTGGGCAGGACTATGGCGTGCAGGAGCAAAAACATTTCAGTAACCACCAGAGGCTCGCCCCAATGACAGCAACCAGCACCTCGTCTTGGTCTGGCATCCCCGCTCACCTGCTCCACCATCCTGCCACAGCCAATACCCATCATACTTCATGTGGCCCGTGGTGGTCAATGCACGTTATAGAGACTGGTTGTTTGGTTGTTCCACTGTTAGGTCTATTTGCATATTAGCCTTTTATTATATAGGATGGAATTAATATATGGACCTGTGGGGATTCTTGCTAAGCCATAAAATCTTTAATTCAGCACATGCACGTTTATTAAGTTCTCCCAGAGAGTCTGATGCACATTGTCCCTGGTCCATACTTCACCAAAATCAAGGACATTATTTGGCTGCAGAATAAGGCAAAGATCCATGCTTGCTGATGTGTGATCAGCTCCTACCACCTTTGGAAACGGAACTGAGAGATTACTGTTATTATTATTTTTTAACTCTGAGATAGATAGCCTTACCTCTGTCACATGTAAAAGGAAAGAGAATATATGAATTTCACAGCTTGCTCGAGGTAATAATCTGGAACTAATAGCCAAGACTTGAGAAGCAAACAAAAGCTTCTGGCTCAGTAATAATGTGTATCACTAAACATTAATTACTTTGTATTGCCTATGTGTTACTTTAAAAAGTGCTTTTATTTTTGTTATAAATCAATATCAATTATAAAGCTTTAAAGAGAAAAAGGTTAAAGAAAATGTTAAAGACACCTATTAGCCATAATCCAGAGATTGCCATTGTTATTTTGTTAGAATTTTCTTGTGGCTTTTTTCTATGAATATATGTATTTTGAAATATATGTTTTAAAGTTGTGAAGTTAATAGATTAACATAGACTTGTCCATATATCATTTAAGTATGTTTTAAAATTAAAATATATACATTAAATAAAAAATAAGTTTTAAAACTCTCAACTAATGAAGCTCAGCCCTGGCCAGGGGCTCCATTGGTTGGGCGTTGTTCCATGCACCAGAAAGGCTGCTGGCTCCACACGCCCAGGTGGTGGCTCCATCCCCAGTGTAGGGTGTGCAGGAGGGAGCTGAACAGTGCTGTGGTCTCACATTGATACTTCTGTCTCCCTTTCTCTTCCTCTCTCTAAAAATCAATAAAAATCACTTCAAATAAAATCATGTAAGCTCAGTGACACAGAGGTATGGTTAATTTACAGTCTCATTGACATGGAATCTCTGTGTGTCTTTGGGAAGATCTATCTCAGGCTCATGTTGGTGTTTTGCCCAAGAGTGGCTGGAGATGAATGGCTGCTTGCATTTGAGTGTGCCCGTTTTGCCGATGTGGTCCGCAGGATTCAGGACCTTAGAGTTGTGTCCCTGAGGTGCGAGATCTCATTATGCATGGCTGGACATTTCTTTAAATATGGCATTTTGTCACAACCAAATGGAAAGTATACAGGTTGTTGTGTTGTTGTTGTTTTCTAAAACTAACCTCTGTGCAGGCTGAATTATAGAATCTCATGTTTAACTGAGAAAAAAAATTGTACATAAATATATGATAATCAATTCCATACTTTTTATTTGTAAAATGTTAAATGTTCTTAAGTATGAGTAATTACGACAGTAACAAGTGTGGCAGGAAGTGTTCAGCGGAGAAGGATGAGAAGATGTGGACAGAGCAGGAATGGGGTGGAGGAGGAGAAAAGGGGGCTTGGTCTGCGTTTAGCCCCCATTTGTGAAAGCACCAATTTGCTGTTCTCTGCCCGTGGGGGTAGCATCTCTGGGCAATGACACCAATAAAATAAATAGCCCTGCCAGGCCACACTCTGAGATCTCCCCTGACCCTGACCAGCAGCTGGCATTCCTGGACTCTTTGCAGAGCTCTATTAAGTACCTGGGCCCAGGTGGTCTCACAGGCCATCCTCAGTCAACATTGCAGAGGGACTGTGAGGCCCACAGATGGGGAAGTTTCTAGGAAGTTTGCAGAGATTTGCAAATACAAGTCCTGAGGGTTAGACAGGGAAAACAGCTCATGTGAATCCCAAAGGCATCTCTTTAAAACGTACCCTTGGGGTAAACAGTAGCTCCTTTCTGTGGGCACAGTGCACCCGCCCCCCTGGACGTCTCAGCCTATGTTTCTAGCCACCATGACAGCAGGAGGAGCCCTGGAGGAAGACTCCCAAACCCCAGCAGCCACTGTCTCCCGGGCTGTGAGCAGCATAGCCTGGGCAAGGGAGGAAGGCGAGTTCTAGAGTAACGTGGGGGCTGACCAGGGTTAGTGATGAACTGGACTGACTTGAGGCCTCTACAGATTTTGACAGCATGTCACACTCAATACTGCACCACTGAGCCCAGGACTAGTGGGTGGGAGATGGAGATGGCCCCGGTTTGAATGGAGGATGGACTGAAGCTGTGGATGAGGGAGATAAAAAGTAGTTTCTGCAGGAATACACATTTGACCTATTTTTCACATCTGAATGATTTACAATTCATTTCAGCTCAATGTAAAAGTGCACATTCCAGACACTGCAAACTGCTAGTTTTGTTAGTAAGAAATTGTGCCTGCATTATTTTCTACAGGCTTCTACAATAAAAATACAAACTGGCTTAAAAACAAATAAAAAAAAAACAAAGTGCATTGTTTCATAGCTCTGAGACCAGAGTCCAAAACCAAGGAACCAGCAGTGCCAGGCCCCTCTGAACCCTGGAGGGAGAACCCTTCCTTCTTCTCCTCGCTCCTAATCTGTGGGCCTTCCTAGGCTCATAGAGGCAGCACCTCAGTCTCTGCACCGGTCACCTGCCTCCATGGGACATAGTCACAGTGGCCATATCTTCAGGTGACTGTGTCCCTCTTCGTATAAGGACTCTGGTCATATTGGATTAGGGCCCAACTTAATGGAGTATTACTTCATCTTTATTTTATTGAATTTGCAAAGTCCTGGAGGTCAGGACTTTACAAATATTTTGGGAAAAAATTCAAGCCACAGCATTGTCTTTTCAAGAAAAGTCTGCATCACAGTATCAATGTAGAAA